CTGTGTCCAGTTCTGGGCACCACAGTTCAAGAAGGACACTGACAAACTGGAACGTGTCCAGAGGAGGGCAACCAAAATGGTCAAAGGCCTGGAAATGATGCCTTATGAGGAACGGCTAAGGGAGCTGGGCATGTTTAGCCTGGAGAAGAGGAGGTTAAGGGGTGATATGATAGCCATGTTCAAATATATAAAAGGATGTCACATAGAGGAGGGAGAAAGGTTGTTTTCTGCTGCTCCAGAGAAGCGGACACGGAGCAATGGATCCAAACTACAAGAAAGAAGATTCCACCTAAACATTAGGAAGAACTTCCTGACAGTAAGAGCTGTTTGACAGTGGAATTTGCTGCCAAGGAGTGTGGTGGAGTCTCCTTCTTTGGAGGTCTTTAAGCAGAGGCTTGACAACCATATGTCAGGAGTGCTCTGATGGTGTTTCCTGCTTGGCAGGGGGTTGGACTCGATGGCCCTTGTGGTCTCTTCCAACTCTATGATTCTATGATTCTATTCTACATATATTCCCTCCAAAACACACGTTTCTACACATATATTATAGAATATATGTATTTCTGCATTCATTTTCTCCCAAAACGTGTGTCCTTACATGCAGTTTGATACATTTATTGAGCCACAAAGAATTCTGGGAAAAGAGCAAGTGGCTGCATTGTGATCTACACATTTCTCCAGTAGATCTGGATCAGGCCAGTTTCATTTTGGATTCCACCAGGATCAAATTCTTCAAGCACTCGCTACTACCTCTGAACTTTAAAGGCCATACAGTTTCAGTCTCTCTAGTCTCGATGGCTCTTCCCCCAGAACCCCACTCAAGCTGCAACATTTCTTCCTCTCCAAGATAAATCGTAAGGACACTGACAAGTATTTTTAACACATTTCCCCCGATGTTGCATAAATCCAAGAACATCTCTATGCTAATCGAATCAAAAGAGACATGATTAGTGACTCGAGTGCGCCAACATGTCTGTTGTCTCGTCATCGCGCTAAGATAACGTACTGCCAATGCGGAATTTAAGAACTGAATATTGTATATACTGGAAAAGGTTATGGGATATGACAGACTCCGATAATAGTAAAACCAGAGAAATCATACCCTTCACTGTCTGTATTTCTTATGCATTATAAATTGTTAATATTTTTAAGGATGTGTTTTGGGAAGAGAAGCAGCAAAATAAGATACAGTGGAGAAAATGCCTTAATGAAATTATTCATGATATACACAGAAACACACGAATCAGACTCACTCATCAAATAAAATGAAGGTTAATGCATGCAGAGGAATACAAGAAGCACCTAGTCTTTTGAAGTAATGTGTTATGTCCTTCCTATAGCCAATCCTGGAAGGTAAGTGTTGTGACCTTTCTTTTAAAGGGAGGGGCTCTTAAGAGTAGAATAATTTGGTGACAATCAGAAGAAAAGAAATTCTTGCTAGCTATGGTCCAAATTTTGCAGAGGCTTTGTCCATCGAGCGCTTTACAAAATCAAAGCACCCTCTGGCTTATAGAGCAATCCTAAGTGTAGGAACTTCTGCTGGCTCCTTAAACCAGTATAAATGATGCCTATTTCTAACTCATAAGATTAAAAAAAAATAGCATACAAACAACCTACTGGATCAGGCCAATGGCCCATCTTGTGCAGCATCCTGTTCTTACAGTGGTCACCCAGATACCTGGCTAAAAAGGTAAAGGTAAAGGGACCCCTGACCATTAGGTCCAGTCGTGGCCGACTCTGGGGTTGCAGCGCTCATCTCGCTTTATTGGCTGAGGGAGCCAGTGTACAGCTTCCGGGTCATGTGGCCAGTATGACTAAGCTGCTTCTGGCAAACCAGAGCAGTGCACGGAAACGCCGTTTACCTTCCCGCTGAAGTGGTACCTATTTATCTACTTGCACTTTGATGTGCTTTCGAACTGCTAGGTTGGCAGGAGCAGGGACCGAGCAACGGGAGCTCACCCCGTCGCCAGGATTCGAACTGCCCACCTTCTGATTGGCAAGCCCTAGGCTCTGTGGTTTAACCCACAGCACCCTGCTAGAAGTCATCAATAACTCTCTGCTCCGTGAAATGCAGTTCAGGAGCAGGGCTACTGCCAGCTGGGCTAGCCTGAGCCTGACAGGGGTAAATAGATGGGACTCAAGGAGCCACTGCCTGATCCACCCTAACAAGGAGGCAGTAGGATTTCTCCTGCTACATTACCCATGTTATAGTGCTTGTTGTAGACCACACAATCAATATGTCATCTTTACTTCCAGCTAATGCCTTGTGTCTTCATTCGTGGTGGGAATTAATATCTGGTGGCAGCCCGTGTGGCATAGTGGATAGAGTGTCAAACTAGGACCTGGGAGACCCGGGTTCAAATCATGAAGCTCCCCAGGAGACCTTGAGGGCCAGTCACTGCCTCTCAGCCTAACCTACCTCAGACGGTATAAAAATAGGTTTCACTTTCTCTTTCTATCTACCTTCCTTCTGGCGTGGTGTTCTGTACATAGTATGCTTAGTGTGAAGGTTTAGACTTACTGTAAGTTATTGTAAGTTTAAGTTAAGTCTGCCGCAACTGGTTTTCTTGTGGACAGGGCCAATCCTGAACGTATTGGCTTCATGACCATTATGCTCATTTGCCATCAGTAGAAGCAAAGCTCTGTTGGATGAAATATGAATTGCCTGTGGTCTATTTTGGTGGGAATCTTGCAACGTGTTTAAGTTTTTACTCTGCTAACTATACATTGGAATCTACTCTGGATCAATATTGAGTACAATTCGATGACATAAATAATCATGATGATGATGATGATGATGATTTTATTTGGGCTGGGCTCAGAGCAGCTAACATCATATTAATAACACAATATACAGTGGTACCTCGGGTTACAGATGCTTCAGGTTACAGACTCTGCTAGCCCAGAAATAGTACCTTGGGTTAAGAACTTTGCTTCAGGATGAGAACAGAAGTCACGTGGCAGCAGTGGGAGGCCCCATTAGCTAAAGTGGTACCTCAGGTTAAGAACAGTTTCAGGTTAAGAAGGGACCTCCAGAACGAATTAAGTACTTAACCCGAGGTACCACTGTACATAAAAACAAGCAATCAATCGTTTGAAATGCATCCCAAAATTAATTCAAATAAATTACAATTAAACTAAACAAATGGCAGTCCTCAGGTTAAATTGAAAGCGGTTAATACTTGCCAGGACCAACTGTTTCCACTGATATTATAAGGACCAGTGAGCGGGCTGGGAAATCTCCTTCGTGCTTGTTCTTATACAAAGAGAAAATGAGAAAATAAGGAGGGGGAGAACCATGCATGCCACTGTGAGCTCCATGAAGCAAATGTTGGGCTTATAAGTGTGATAAAGAATTAAACAGTAACTCTTATCTAGGGTTCCATTCATTGCTATACTCAGAGAAGACCCATTAAAATCCATAAACATGAGCAACTTAGGTCTCCCAATTTCAATGGGTCTACTCTGAGTAGAGTTTAGTTGGATATGATGACCTACTGATTCTTTTGCCTCTGGCGAACGCACCTTTGCGAAGCGGCGAAGACCTGCAAATAATTACTTTACCATTGTTTTCTGAAAGTATCTGATGGGAGAGGGACCTAAAGAGCCAAACATTTATCACAATCCCTACCCTTGGTGTCATCGCATGTTGAACCTCTGGATCCTGATGAGTAATTGCTCTCTCCTTGTCTTTCCCGGTTCTTTATTTTATTTTTTCCTCCCTCCCCCTTTGGAGGAAAGGGACGTCAAACCTCCGAAGAACAGGCTCGGTGGCAGAATGTCATTAAAATTAAGAAATACTGATGGAAAGAAGGCGCCGTAATAAACAATGAACAATTTACAGACTAAAAACAGTGACATAAGGTGGAGAATAATGGAATATGAGAGTGAGGGGAAAGCACGAGACAATGATGACTGGTTGACAGATTGTTGTCATTCAACTCTCCGGGGCTTTCTCACAACCTTCCAATAGCGAGGCAGGATGGAACATCTGGTAGACAACCAGTGCGGAACCTCAATCCTGCTTCCCAGAGACAACAGAACTGGAGAGTCCTGAGGCGTATAACCCCCTGCCTCCTTCTCTGCACCATCTCTCTAGCGAAGACGAAGTTTTCTTTTATGCCTTCCTTTTGCAGGGAGTTTTGTTTGTTTGCTGGGAAACACATGTTCAGCTGGGTCGCAAAGCACAGACATACCCACAATCCCTTTGGCTGTCTTCTCCTAGGACAACGCGGGAAGCCTGGAATAGGATCAGGATGAAATTACCACACACACACACCACAAAAAAAGAAAAAATAGTTACAACAACAATAGTGTCAGATCGTCATCGTCGTCATCGCCCCCCCCAAAAAAACCCCAACAACACTGGGATTTTTCCCTATTTGTCACAATTACTGAAGCACCTGTGCTGAACTCTGTTTGCTTCATCTGCTGAAAATATTAAGCTTGACAGGCCTCCCTATGCTCCCCTTGTTAAAAATAAAACCAAAGTGATGGTATTTATTTCTCTGACTTCTAATAGCTTGGGTCAGGGATAGGAAAAAATCTGTGGCCCAGGGGTGGATTCCCTCATCAGACCTCCTCAGAACACACACACACACACACACACACACACACACATAATCATATTTTGATTAAATATTTCTTGGTTTACAAAAGTATGTGCAATGTCTCTTTTCTACTTAGTGTATGTGTGGTTTTTTGTCAGCATCGGGTTCTCTTTACTATTCGCTTGTGTTCCTTTGGTGGTGAGAGAGGTTGGGGTTGGCCTAGGGTGTGGTTCTTCATTTGTGATTGGCTGTGGTGAACTTTGTTTTCAGGGGTGAGTGGGTATTTTTGAATCAGGTTAGCCAGATTGGTTCGTATGCTGTTGGCGGATTCTTGTCGTTGTCTTGTTGGGCTGTGTATGTGATAAAGGGGAGCCATACCGGGGTGAAGGCGTCTTCTTCTATTTGTCCCCATGTCCCCTCTTCAGAATATTATTATTATTATAAAATAAATGTCCAGTAGCACCTTAGAGACCACCTAAGTTTGTTCTTGGTATAGGATTTCGTGTGCATGGACACTTCACAAAAGCTTATACCAAGAATAAACTTAGTTAGTTTCTAAGGTGCTACTGGACAATTTTTAAAAAATTGACTGTGGCAGACCAACACGGCTACCTACCTACCATTATTATTATTATTATTATTATTATTCCCAAGCTGGGACTCAAGGTGGCTTAGACAACTTAAAACAAACAGATAAAATGCAGAAAGGAAAATAAATAAAAATTATAAATAGCATTAACATGTATTTATATGCCAATATAATTTTAAAAATGCTTTCCTAAACAACACAAAACAAACAAACAAACAACAACCAGTGATTCCGGCTAGAAGACAACAATCTTCAGCTGCTAGCAGAAGGATAACAAGTAGTGAACTGACCTAGGTTTTTTAGGAAGGAAGCAAGTCTGGGAACAACCACCAAGAAGGCCCTCATGGGCATTCAATGAACCTGAGTGTTTGAAGATTCCAGATGGGTAAAAGAAAATACTTCTCCACACACACCACATAGTTAACCTATGAAATTTAGGTAGGGTTGCCATACGTCTGGGGAAACCTGGACATGTTCTCTTTCAGGGGACCAACGTGCAGATTTCTACATTTTAGAGGAAATGTCTGGGCTTTGGGGCTGGCAGAGTGGGTCTGGGCGGCTTGGGAATGGGCTGCTCTGTATGCCACAGCTGCTGGCAGCCCGAGCTGGGAAAAGAGGCACGCAGGTGCAGTGGCGGCAGTCCCACACACCTCTTTCCCAGGCTCCGGCTGGCAGCTGCTCGGGCTGCCCTCTTTTTTGCTCTTCAAGATAAGGCAACCTTTCACCCCCTCCTAGATGTTGATATGTTTAAATCTCTTTTTAGTTTACCCCTGGTTTTAATTTTTTAAATGTTTTAATTATTTTAACTGTTTTATTGTTAATTTTAATATTCCATAAAAACTGCTTAGAGGTTTTGTTGCAATCAATTTTTGTTAAATAAATAAATAATAAAAACCAGAATCAGATTTAGGCATGTGATAGCATCACGAAACCAAGTCAGAGTGAGAGATTAGATTCCTGGCAACTTCCTTCTTCATAATTTTCAAAGCCGAGCCCCTTCTGTTATTGAAAACAGATCCTACACGGGATCTCAGCAAAAATACAAACTGTTTTTTTAAGATTCTCTTGGGCTAAAGCCTTGTGGATCCTGTATTCAACGAATAAAGTCCAGTACATAAATGAGTGTACTGTTTGGCTTTAAAAAAAATAATTGGAAGTCGCCTGGATGCTTCTAGCTTAGGGGGATGGTTTAATTGCATTACATTGTATCTTATTTACTTAAATTATACCTCTGTTTGATCCAAAGCACCAGGGAAGGATTACAGAAGAACAGAAATAAATACTATCTGACAGGACAGAGAAGTCAGTCCCGTAACTGCAGCACAATTCATCCATCTAAAATAGCTCACTGGAAGAATGTGACTCCAGATCCAGTGAAGTCCAGATCAGTGTTTCCCTAACTCCCCTGCCCCATGGGCCCCTTGAAAGTTGCTCAGTGCCTTGGTGGACCACGGCATGATTTTTCCTCTTGTATTTTTACAGACACTCCATAGACCACTGGTAGCCTGCAGTCTGCAGTTTGGGAACTCCTGGTCCAGCTGATGATGGCTAAAAATCTTAAAGAATATGGGTTGTACCCAATGTTAGTCTTGCTCAGAGCATAGCCAGTGGAAAAAAATGCCTGAATAGGTATCCTGCCTGTGGACTGTCTTGCCAGAGTGGTGCATGCTCTAGTTATCTCCCGCTTGAACTACTGCAATGAGCTCTAGGTGGGGCTACCTTTAAAGGTGACCCAGAAACTACAACTAATCCAGAATGTGGCAGCTAGACTGGTGACTGGGAGTAGCCGCCGGGACCACATACACTGGTCCTGAGAGATCTGAATTGGCTCCCAGTACGTTTCCGAGCACAATTCAAAGTGTTGGTGCTGACCTTTAAAGCTCTAAACAGCCTCAGTCCTGTATACCTGAAGGAGCGTCTCTACCTCCATCGCTCAGCCCGGACACTAAGATCCAGCACCGAGGGCCTTCTGGCGGTTCCCTCACTGCAAGAAGTGAGGTTACAGGGAACCAGACAAAGGGCCTTCTCGGTAGTGGCACCTGCCCTGTGGAACGTCCTCCCTTCAGATGTGAAGGAAATAAGCAGCTATCTTCTCTTTAAAAGACATCTGAAGGCAGCCTTGTTTAGGGAAGTTTTTAATATTTAATGCTGTATTGTTTTTAACACTTGATTGGAAGCCACCCAGAGTGGCTGGGGAAACTCAGCCAGATGGGCGGGGTATAAATAAATTATATTATTATTATTATTATTATTATTATTATTATTATTATTATCCAAACAAAGTTTATAGGAAGTAAGTTCAAATCTAGGAAGGGCATCAAGGTCTTCAGACTTTATCCCCAACTTCTGCCCATTGCCCAGCCCTGACACAGGGTCTGTGGAGTTGCATGTGGAGCAATGGTGAGGCCCAACAGCTCTGGTCTACATGAATTGGGCATGACCTAGAAGTCATCCCAGATACTATGCCAGAGGTGCTGGGATTCTCAGCAGTTCAGCTAATGTGGAGAAGATTCCCCTGTAGCTAGAAAGCTTGAAAACTTCTTGCTATGTATTCAGTGGTCCATGTTTGCCTGAGCTTGAGTCTAGATTAAGGATTCTGAACCCCTGTGTTCTGATTCTGTACATGCTATCCAATCACAGAACGTTTCAGGATTTGGACCACTACCACTGGCCCTTAAGCTCTGAGTTCTGATTCGCAGCTTGGGAGTTTAGACAGCCAATCACGTTGAGAGTGGGAACGGCCCAGGCCTTCAGAAATGCATATAGTAAGCAGTTGCATTGCCCCTGTTGTCCAGTTCTGTTAGTTCAATAAAGGTCCTTGCTGTTATCACTGTGTCTTGCTTTGTGGAAACCCAGCTACTCACACAGGGCAATAGGGTTGCTTCATCTTCCAAATTCCCTTAACTCAAATCCCCTTAACATCCATTAAATAGCATTCCACCCTGACCTATATTTGCACTGCTTCCATTGCACTGCAGCCCATCTCCCACCAGAAACTATGTTATTCATCTTGCTGCCCACTGTAGAAAAATCCTGCAATTTACATAATCTATATAATTAATTACTTAAATTATGCAATTCCCTTCGCGTTACATTTTCTACCCCAACTGTTTCAATGCAGAGAACACACAGCGCATTGTATGTGTGTGTGTGTAATCAATAATGTATCATTTGAAGACTGAATATAGCCAATAGTGATCATCTTTACTGGACTGATTTATGTTCTGGACATGGGACAAATGGGAACTTCTACTCCCGTTTCTCTTTTCATTGGCTTTCTCCAACACTTCTACCAATAGTGTTGAAATTCTGATCTGCTTAGCCCATGTGCCGTATCTCCCTAAATCTGAAGAGATTAACAAGACTCTGGGTTTAACATTTCCACAACTGGCATTCTGTGTTTCAGAGATTGGTGCTGGTATCTGGCTGATTGAGGCCTGTGTCGTTTATCTCCAGCCTCATTCCCTTCTGGTGCCGCCACCCTCTATCTCTGCACCTGTTGATAGCGCCACATGGTTTTTTATTTTATTTTTGCCTTTTCATATCTGACCCCCTGATTTCAAGCAAGCATCTCCTCCCTTTCTGCGCTAACCACATTTTTTCATTCATAGCATCCGTATCAAATACAGTCATAGCCGACATCACCAAGATGTAGATAATTTCCCTTTTAATCACTGCCTGCACAATGCTCAACAGTTTGGAGAGTAAATATATACATACAAAGATTTTCTATATCATTTGACACCCAGTCGATCTCTGTTGGGGGATTCCTGGAGTGGGCTAGACCCTGAGCATGTTTTGATCTTTTCTAATGCTTTTCTACAGCAGATGAATTTGTCTTATTACTATAGGGGAGTGGGAAGGATGCAAGCCCTGTTTAGATGATAACATTGTACGTTTTCTATCTCGAGCATTGTGATGATATTTTAAAATATTTTTTTAAAGGAAGAAGGGAAAACACAACAACCTTGCCATCAATTTCCCAGACTCTTTGGTTATGCGAGTCTATTATCTCTAGAAACATTTCTTGATCTGGTTTCTCAGAGGGTCCATATTAATTTGCTATGATCATTTCATTTTTTTAAGGCTATCTTTCACCTCATATTAGTTTCTGCTGGGGCAGGATAGTGACACGTGCCCACTCTTTCTGCAAGCATAAAATGTCTTTTTTGCCCCTTACTGGAACATTTGTTCTCTCTCTCTCTCTCTCTCTCTCACACACACACGCACACACACACACACACACACACACACACACATTGTTTATACCAGCCTTTTAATATGCCATTTTGTTTCCTTTCATGTGGTCAAGAACATTAAAAAAACATAAGTGAAGCTTTGCTGGGTTCTAGCAAAGTGGCAGAGCGTCTGCTTGGCATGCAGAAGGTTGCAGGTTCAATCCCCAAGGATGTCTTCAGGTAGGGCTGGGAGAGACCAGAGCCTGAAACCGCTGAGACCCATTGCTCCTCTCTGGTAAGGACATAAGAGCATAATAATTGCCTGCTGTATTGGGCCAATGACCCATGTAGTCCAACATCCTGTTGTCAAATTGGCCAACCAGATGTCTGTGAGAAACAAGCAAGGAGAACATGAGCCCAAGAGCACTCTCTGCACCTGTGGCTTCCGGCAACTGGTACCCAGAAGCATTGCTTCTTCCATCTGCATAGTCACCATAACTAACAACCATTGATAGCCTTTCCCTCCTTGAATTTGTCAGATTCTCTTCTAAAGCCATCTAGGGCAGTGGCCAACACTGCCCCCTGAAGAAGTGCACTGTATGAAGAAGTACTTTCTTTTATCTGTCCTGAATGTCCTCTAACATTCAGCTTCGTTGGCTGTGCATGAGTTCTAGTGTTACGAGAGTGGAAGAAACACTTTTCTTGATCCACTTTCTCCACTGCCTTTTGGGATATCTTTGGGAGAGGACAAGGCTAAGGAGTGAACCCCACACATATCAGGAGTGGAGTCCCTAGGACATTTGCAC